AGAGATGGGAGGGAGTGGGGATCCTGCCTTCCCTGTTGGACCATGCCTGAAACTGGCTCTGGGAATGCAGGACAAGCATGGTGCCACTCAGGCAGCCTATCCTCAAAACCAAGCATGTGCCACTGTTCTGATTTATTACCTTACATTTATTAAGCAATTTGCTGATTAAAACAGAAAGGAAGACAACCTGTGTTTCCTACCACTCGTCCCTTCACAGAAAGATAACATCACTTACGTTTTTTGTCTTGGAAAAAACTTGAAATTCACATTTTTCTCAGGGTGGGAACCTGGAAAGGGAATTTTATCCTACAGAGGAGGTGCAGGAGGCAGGGAGCTGCACGTACCTGGCACTTTTAAGGATGCACTCACCAACTCTGGGGGCTGGGGCTCAGAAGGCAGCTAATGAAGGGTAACATGATCTATCTTTTGTGTGAGGTGAAGGAGTTTTGGAGCCGGGCAGAGAGAAGGGAGGGCTGAGCCAGCCAGGAGCATGCACTGACTAGCACCAAGGCAGAGAAAACAGCTCTTGGAACCACTTCCATAAATTTTCTTTTCCTTGAAGCATCCGACAGAAAAAGAGAGAGGGGAAGAGACGGGGGGGAAACAGGGAAGGGGGAGGGAGACAGATGGAAGTGTGAACGGAGCTGTAAAACCTTGCAAAAGCAGGGCTAGGCAATCATTCCCTGTTTTGGCACGGCTGCCTCCCGCGACGGCTGGAGAGCCTCACTTTTAAGAGCTCGCTGCTCTCCTCCTCGGCTGCCTGTCCCGAGCTGGGCAGCCAGACACCAACCTCCTCCTCTTGGCTACCACCAGCCCCCCGGGGGGTCAGCATGGCTTTGTCCCCTCTCTGGGACCATGAGCAGCCTCCAAAGGGTCTTGCAAACATGTCCAGCTCCACACACAATCCCCCCAGTGCCAGGCATCCTTGGAGCAGCCGCAATGGGGCCTGAGAAATGACTCCTCTATCATGCCTGGGGCCTGAAAATTGCAAAACAGAGCCCTCATGCAAAAGAAACTTTCCCTCTGACGTCTGAAGCTTTCTCCCATGTTTCTGAGCTGAGGAGGTATTTCTTCGTGTCAGGAAAATGTGAATGGGAACTAAGTCAATGTAAACACAGCATATTCATCAGATTTTTCCTTTTTTAGTTCTGAGTACTTTAAACAACAATGAAATATAAACAAAAGTTACTTGTTTTTAGCCTATATTAATAATGGCTGGACTATTAACTGTTTCCTTCTCCATCATCATAACATGTGGTTTGTCCTATGGCAGCTCCCAGGCAAGCAGTTCAAACACGGGTTCCCAGTGCCATCCCTATTTCATAAGAGTGTGTGTTCAGCAGAGGGGGCAAAGTCCTTTCCCAGTGTCATGAAAAAAGCCTCATCCAAACCCCTTCTGAAGCAATGAAACAGTTGCATTGACTTCATCTGGGGATTTGGAAAAGACCCTGAGTCAGAGTGTGGAGCAGCAAAACCACATCTGTTGGTGCCCTCAGCGTGTCTCCTAGATTAAATCATCATCTTCTTTTCTTTGGGAGAGGGAAAGGGATAGTCAGAGTCACGAAGACGAAGAATAAGACTGGCTAAAGCACATGAAAGTGTTAAATTGCTCTGTAATGGTTCTGAGAAGTGCTCAGTGAAAATATTTCATATCTAATAAATGTATGACTAAGAACACAATAATATTCACAGAGCCATAACTCCTTCCAGCGAAGGCTTTGAATGCAAAACAGATCAGATGGCTTCCAGACAGGGAAAAGCAGTCAGTTCTTATTGCAGCCACCATGGTAACTTCTCAGCTCCCTTTACTGTCATTCCAGATGGGAAATCGGGACAGTAGGATACGACATTACTGGCACTACAGCCAAATTTTTTCTGCACTTGCTTTCAGAACCTTCTGGAGCAACTTATTCCTTTATTTTCCACACTGACTCAGGTTGGTTGCTGTTAGGAAATCCCAAAGATCGCTGCAATGGGAATTGTCACTGAAAGCCGAAGATCTCCTCTGTGACCTAATGGGGAGACAGTACTGGGTAGGATCCTGGCAATTTGGACCCCAGTCCATATACTGTTGGATGATCTTGGGAAAGTCACTTTTTTTCTGGTCTATTCACGTCAGGAATAGTTACCTCCTTTTCAAACCGAAATGGAAGGATGAATTATTATGGTTGTTATCTTGGTCGTGTCCGGTTATTTTTCTCAGTCAATTCAGCTCTTGTATCAGGGTAACTGTTGTGTGATCTCAGAAATGCTGGGCAAGCTTAATCAGGGGTCATCTAGGAAATGAAATGGGATTAAATTTGTAGTTTAAGAAGAATCCAACTATATAATCCACTGAATCATTGCAGTGTCAACCTCTTCAAAATGTATAGAGTTTAAAAAAACCCTAGGCTGTTGCTAAGGAAAATAGTGTAATATTATAATAATTATAACAGCGATGTGTTGTAACAATTCTCTGGTGGAGACATTGTTTACTTTTCGGATTTTTCTCAGGTTTATATGGATGGCATTTGATTTGATTGCTTTTCATCGTATGTGTTACCACCATTCTTATCTTTTGTTTTCAAAAAAATGAGTGAGGATATTTATCCAAGGCTACAGAAAATCCTGGAAGTGAGGAGTGCCCATAGAATAGGGGCAGCTGAGAACTTAACGAGAATATTGGGAAAAGTCTGAGTTCTTTCACTCCTCTCTCCATTTTTTCTCACTCCATGTTAGGAAATCTACAGGATAAATAGACACATTCTGCATATGTGTGCTGCAGGACCAGTTTTAGCATAGATCATCCACGTACACTTTAAACAGAAATTGGGTGTTTAATACTGTACTCTGGTAGGAAATGCAGAGAACTTGTTGACCTGTTGCTTCCTCTATCCCTGAGGATGAGCAGAAGATGCAGCTTCTCATCAGGTAGGGAGGTTCCTATCCTTAATAACCCTTCTGTTGAGACTACTTTTTTCTGATTTTATACTCCTGCTTGAAAGTTTTGGCATGGGAGTTAGACAGTCCTTGAGATTTTTTCCGATATTATTACCTTCTCTGTGAAAGTGTGTATATGGCTCTGTGCTTTGCACAACCCAGGCTCGTGTAAAGATAAAATATTTAAAAATATGCAATCGGGTTTTCTTTACCTTGGCCTTATTAAGTATAGAAAATAACCACTCGTGCTTGTGTTGAAGGAAAGTGTTTCTTCAGGGGTTAGTCAAATAAGCTATTCAAAACCACTAAATCCTTCCAAAATACCCTTCCAGAGCTGTCAAAGGTAGTGAGACCTCAAATTATAGTATCAACAGCATGCTGTTAATGCTGCCAGAGTTGGAGGGAAGCAGGAGTTTGACACTAAGCCTATTCAGAAATGACATAATATTCTCTTAATCAATTAATGCACATCATCATGTCAGGATGTGACCTTCCTTTTCTTGTTCTTTCCAATGTGCTCAGCCTTCCAGCAACAGGCCTGCATATGCCTTTAACCTAAAGCAAACATTATGCAAATAGAAATGGAAAATCACTTGGATTTTATTTCCATCATTTTTCTCTTGGTCGAAAGAGAGCAGAACAGGTCTTGTGGGCATTTATTTAGCACAAAGATCCCATTTTCTTCTCTTGGAGTTCTCTGGAAAACACTGCTTTGAAAGATCACCTCTTGTAATTACACGCAATTCATTATGAACCCAAATGTAGAAGAAAAGAGAGTGTCAACAGAAAGCAACATATATCATGGCACTGTTGCTGAAAGACATATCCCTTGTAAACATAGCAATTCCTCCTATATTTTAAACATTGCCTTTTAGATTTCAAGTGATATTGTCCTTAAACCAAAACTCATTTCTACACTGAGGCTAATTGCTGAATGTCCTTTGCCACTTAACACATCAAAACCCAGTTGTCGTGCCGTCTAGCACTGCATATGTCAAGTGTTAGAAATTAAAGAGCACAGTCTCTTCAAAGGTAGAAAACTTCTAAGACTGGTCTCTCAGAACAAAACCTTGAGCTTTTGCGATGATAGGGATGTGATATTTTCTATCTAGACTGATATGATAAGATTTTATGACCTACTAAGTATATAGAAAATGAAACACATACACACAACTAAGAAGGTCTTTAAATTGGAAACCACTCATATCTGTGCACTTTAAGAACTCCAGAAGAAGCTGCAGTGTATTGAAAACCCCACATTGCTCCCAAATGGCATTAGGTTTTTTGTTGGTATGGGGCAAGGAGGGTTTGCAGGATTTACTTCCTTGTTTATGTATCTCAGGCTTATGAATTTAATATTCATGCTATTATATTTATACTGCCTTTTCTTTCTCTTTGCTACAAAAAGATTTTCAAGAAAAGCCTGAGAAATAATGGTTGAATATGAATATTACTGACCTTTCGATCACCTGAGCAATATATATAGTTCTATTTAAGCTACAAAGCTCATCACATCTATTTTGCATACAATAGTCCTGTGTCCAGGTTACACAAAACAGATCAGTGCCTGGGATAAGCATCAGCCTTTTTCTACTTAGTAATTTCAGAATTTAAAAAATTAATTTAAAATAAAGGCAGAAGACTGGTTTGGTCCTGTGTAACCATGCAGACTTGTAACTCAGATGGCTGTCTTGGTCATGGAAACCCCCAGCCAAGGGAAGTGGTTGGGGTGGGGAGGAGAGCAATATATGCCATCAGTAGCTTTTCTCTGTGCTTTGAGAGGAAAATTATTTTTATCCATGTCAGTACCTATTTTATTCATTAATTTCCCTTATGCTTTAGGTTTCCTTGGAAATCTTTGCTATATTATTTTGGGAAGAGATGAAGTAGACGCTTTCAAAATTCTAAGGAATATGTGGCATATGCAGTGATTATATTGAACCACAATGCACTGACTTCTCCGTTAAAGGTTGGACTTGATGATCTTGGAAGGTCTTTTCCAACTTTAATGATTCTATGATTCTATAACTTACTTCAACCCACGGCAGAGAAAATTGGAATTGTAAAGACACAGTTCTTACCAGTGCTGCTGCTTTTTTAGCACATTGCTACCAGAGGAAACACTTGTCCATGGTAGATCATTTTCATTCCTTGACTTCAACCTAATACAAAGAAATAGGTGGAATAATTTTTAGTTATTTATTAATGCCACAGACATTAAATGTGTCGCTACAGAAGAGAGCAAACCAAACTGAACAGATAAGAACCTGCACACGAGCAAAATGAACTTCCCCCAAGTCTATAAAATCCATAACAGACTTTTGAGACTTAATAGTTAAGTTGATGGAGGACAGCCAAGATTACCAGTGCTGTGAATTAGGGAAAAGGTTGCAAGTACAGCTTGAGGTCTATGAAATTCATCTGCAGTTTGGAGGACAAAACAAAGGCTATGAAGAAAACTATGTTGCTAGCTAAACAGACCCCTATTTAGTTCACAGTCTTAAGACAGTAAGTTGGTGCAAGTAGATAAAATCCCCTCTCTGTCTCTATCCTAGCCTAGAAAATAATGAGAAAAAAATCTGATGCTGCCTTGAACTTATTGGTCTTCTCTTGGTGGATGAAAAAAAAAATCTACCTGCCATTTTTCATAATTTCCATCCTCTTTCTGGAAAAACACCTCTTTTTTGCTTGTTCAACTAGACTTATCTTATAGCTCATTTGCTGAGGAGCACGTGTTAAGAATCCCAGAGGACTACTGCTTGGTTTTTTAGGCTGAGCCTGTAATATTTCTTTCTATTAATATTCCTTGGGTGTACCTATTTTGCTTCAGAAGCAGTGTCTATGTCAGTGAGCACTGCTAGGCTACAGTGGTTTCAACACACACTGGTGATTAGACCCCCATAAAAAGTATTCCTTTAGGTGAAAAACTTTAGATGAAAACTTATTCTGAAGAGAAACATTAAGATTTCACTGTGCTAAATGGTGATTATGAGAGACTCAGGAGATGTAACAGTGACAGCACCTTCAGTTCCCTGGAGCATCCTAGAAAAGGTAAGTGAACTCCTCCACCTACCACTGCTGTTGTTGCTAAAATAAGCAGCCAGAAGAGGGTGAAAAAAGAAGAAGACAGTGAAAAGAGTTAGAAAAACAATATGGCCAGGCCAGTGTGGGCAACCTGTACCTGCAGTGCTCACACACAAGAGCCCCCCATTCCAACTAACAGGGGAATGGCCCAGCCTGCAGAACGGTCCATGGTGTCTGGGGAAGCAACATGGGACAGCTTGGTTTTTGCAGAGCAGTCTGATATATTCCATATGGTACAGGAGCAGTTTTTTACTTCATTTCTCTTTATCTAGGCAGCTTCGGATGGGGAAACGCCGAAAGCGTGGAAACAGAAGGCAGAAGGAAAAGTCAGAAACCATCGTCTGGTTTCTGCAGAGGTTGAGCACTGTTTGCTTTGGCTTTCAGACGTGGCAATTTAGCAACAGGAAATGTCAGCTCATTAGAGCCATGGCATGGCATGGGCTGATGATAGCAGTCACTCCCGCTGGCAGGGCTCCAGCCGTCACACTCCGCAGGGAAACGGCACGATTTGATACCAGTGTCTCGATTTCGTTTTTAACACAGGACAGTTTAGTGGGCTAGTGGACTTGGCAGGCTGTTAACAGAATTAATTTGATTGCCTTGGCAGTGGTGGGAGGATGCATGAAGGAAACCTTCTGGCTCCGCTAGCAGCATTTAATACCAAATGATTATCATATAGTATCGAACCCGTGCTTGGATGAAGCATGTGTGAGGGCTTGCAACAACTTTACCAAAAATAGTAAGTGCCATTTGAAGTTGGCAAACATGTGTGCTCGAGAGAAAACAAGCTTTCCAGTTAAAGCCAGTCAGAACTTCACCCTGCAGGCCTGTTACTTGTCATGTTCCTGGGCTGTGTCATTTTTCATCCATGCTCCGGCTGTGAAAGTACTGCTTTGTATTATCTGCCACTGAATTATATTAAGAGCCACAGCTGTCTGCTGTTGATGGAGACTGTTTCCACTGGAGGATGGATACCTGCAAAAATGACAGCTGGATTTGCTGTTGGACAACTTGTAGTCTTGGCATTCAGCTTGTTATTTTGCCTGTAAATGCACTGGGGAGAGTATTGCACGTGGAGCTGTGTGTTTTCCGTACGTAAACCTCTCATCTTTGGAATGAAAGAAAATACCACTTGGCACATGACTCATTTCTATAAATACCCCTTTCTTTAGGTACTTATAATGCAAAGGATGGTCAGAAGCAGCTATGTATCTAGTAGGATTTAGATGGTCCCTCAGACCTCCAGAGGTCTTACTCCAAGTGACTAATGGTAAAACAAACGTGAGCGTTTTTCATCCAAAGGGCTGAAAGTGTTTTAAAAGCATTCAGGAGAACCAGTTGCCTCTCCAAATTTAAAGCTGCAACTCAGTTTCCACGATCAGGCCAATATTGGCTCCAAATCCAAAATCAACACAAAATGGAATATCTATCTCAAAACTGGCACGAAACCCATGTCTGAGGAAGAGGTTTTCTGCTAGATTTGTGGTGAAGTGCAATAAAAGGCTCCTGATTTTGGACACTAAAATGGAGATGTTTCAGCCATCCAGAAAGCCCATTGTTCCTCTAGCTCCCTTCCTCCCACTGTATGTCACACATATACACACACTTTCCCAATTTTGCCACCTTGGAAAAGACACCAGGTTGTCTGCACAGCTGGCACAGATTTGGTGTGAAAAGTGTCCAGGCGTATTTTATCCCTGGCACAGATATGCTCCAAGAGCACCAGAGATTTCTGTTGGCTGAGAGGTGCTCTGGTTTCCCATTTCTGCTCAGTGTGGCTCTCAACCTCCATTTTCATAAAGGCACTGAAAGGTGTTGTCATCGAGACTGATAAACAGTTCCAGTGAAACACACTTGTTTTGTAAAAGCCGGATTGTAATTCTTCATTGAATGGCTTGGGATGGAAGGGACCTTAAAGTTCATAAAAGATCATCTAGTTCCAGCCCCTTCTGGCAAAAGAAGAGGAAGGTGTTTCTGAGAAACACTCCAACACTGCATTGTTTTGTTTTGGCAATATTCAAAGGGGAATTACTGTAGCAGCAGCAGCAGCATTGTCATTACTATGTGTCTTCAATTCTCCTTGCTCCTTATTGCTCTGAATTGAAAAATGCTGGGCAGAATGAGGTTCTGCTTTTGCCTTGGCCATTCTGCAGCTTTCTGCTTTTGAAAAATCCCATTTCTCACCATTCTATGGCTTTTCAAAACCTTAATAAAGAGAAAATGGGAAAAGGAAAGAGATGATACAAACCTACTAGATTTCCTGTTACAGGTGATTGCAAAAAAAGAGAGAAAAAGGGAGAAAGGAAGAGGGGGAAAAGGTTTAAAGCATCAATATTCATTTTCTGAAATTATCAATACAGAATTAAAATTAAAGCAGAAAGGTCTATGGCAAAGTCCAATTTTGCACCACAAAAAAATAAAAACATTGATCCCCTATAGAATCTGTTAACAACTTTGTTAAAGGTCCAGCAAAGACAAAACTCCGGAAGATAAATTTCAATTATTTTTTTTAATAATAATTCATTCTATCATTTCCTACCTTTTTTGATCTCCACTGAACCTGAACAGTTGCATTTATATTTCAGTATGCTCACATTTCTTCCAACACACTGCGGTGTGTGCACTTGTAGGTACATACATCTACACGCACACGGGAGCATGGAAAGCCCAGGAATTCCTCATGGAAAATATCACTAAGCTAATATTTTAATGGCAACTTCTGCAGCGTAAATAGATATTTTATACAGATAGATCAGCTCTCCTGGGACAACAGAGAAGACGGTTCTTTATCCAAGCATTCCCAGGACCAATTTATGACTGCTGCAGCCCACTAACAGGTGGTTTGTCTGCATGAGATCATACAGCAGTGGCCATCCAAAAGTTTTCTGGTACCTCACACTCAATCAAAATGATCTGCTTTTATAATTCACAACATGATTGAAGGAGCAGTAGTGCGACCAACACTCTGTGGCACTGCTCACCTGCTCTTCCTTCTGCTAGGGTAGATGGGAAGGGAAAATAAATGGAAAATGAGAATATATGGATTTTAGCCGTGTGTGCCTTGCCAGCCACAAAGCAGCCACCATTCAGCCGTGATGGCCACTGTGCCCTCAGATGAACAGGGAAAAGGAATGAGAAGGAAAATCTGATCTCTCCACCAGTGGTTTTTCATGCTGTTTGTCAGTGGCTCTGAGAGAATGGGACTGTGACCTGATCAAACAGCTGTGGCCCTGAATGTCTGGGGAGGAAGGAAGAAAGGAGGAATAACGGCTCCAGCAGCTGGAGCAAAAAGGGAGGGAGGGAGCATGGAAGGGCTGTGGGTTGCTCTGGCAGCTGCTCTGGGTGGCTGGGCACAGATTCCCCCCATGAGTTCAAACAGGGCACTGAAGCCTGTCCCAGAGCTGGGCTCCCAGGGAAGGAGACACAGCTGGTGTGGTCCTCATCGTGGTGGCTTTGGGCTGGACATCTTCAGGTGGCATGGGATGGGAGAGAAAAGGGCTGGTAGGAAATAGAGTGTACCCTCCAAGGAAGGTCAGCCAGAGGAGAGGGGTGGGCAGCGAGCTCTGATGAAGAAAAGCATCACTGAAAGGGAGGAGGAATGGGTAAAACCTGAAAATGATGAATAGGTAAAACCTGAAAATTATCTGCTTTTTCTGCAACTTAATGAAGACACAGAGAGAGTAACAATAACTACAGTGAATAATGCCATTCCCATGATTCTGCTTAAAGAACCTGAGATCTCATTTTATTTATATATAATATATATATATATATATATATTCCACTTATTAATAAAGCAGCACTCTGGTTCCTGATGGAATTTCACAGTCAGATGTTTTCTTCTTAATATCTTTGATAGGTGGAACTTGAATCTCTTAGGATGTACCTTAAAAAAAAGTAATGCTCAGAGCCTAACAAACCTGCTAACCCCAACAGTGACAATATTAACCACAAGCTGATGCTAAGACAGCTTGGGACCAAGTTACATCCAGTCTCAGAGCCTGCACCTGGCCTTGGATTTCCTTTGTGGTTTTGCATTCATATTTTCCTTGGTTTCTTCGTGCTGCTTTCTCACACTCACATGAGAACCCCACACAGCCGGGTGAGCTGTCTGACTAATCAGTGGTGTGAAGGAAACAATGACCATGAGTAAAGCTCTCTCAGCCGCATAAAGGGGGAAAAAAAACTAGGGTGGGAGAAGCTGAGTTGTAATCAAAGAAATTACAGTTAATGTAGAGAGGTGGAAATGTTCAGAAATATACAACTGGTTTAGGACCGCCCTTTACATTCTTGTTTCATCTGCTGGCTCTGGTGTGACTCCCTGCATTTAAATTAAATTAGGTGTTTCAGAGAAACATTGGATTTAGTGAGCTGGCTGCAGTGCATGGAGTGTTAAAACTTGTCCTCTACATCTTGAAATGGTGTAGACCAGAACTATATATAATTGTAACCTTATTAACATTTTAGGTTTGACAGGAATTACTGGGTTTCCTTAATATTGAGGTTCAACAAGTTATTTCAATACAAGGGAATTGATATCTTTCCCAATGTAACAGTAAGTTAGAGATCCATCAATTGCAAAAACAAGCATGGAGTTTTTTTCTTCTCCTTAAGGCTGAAGTGCCTTAGGTTGCTTTGAAAGCAAACAAAAATAAAAAAACAGAAGTTGCTGGGAACAGCTTTAACCTGGTTTGCCACCAAAAAAAAGATATATCCTACCTGAATATATGCACATCTTTGCTCTCCATCATCCACTGAGGGAATCTAACAGTTTTGTGGAGGGGAGAATACCAAGCTGCGGAAATATCGCAGGCGAGGAATTGTACAAGGTTTGTTGGAAAGTCCAGCTTCACTTGGAAGCATCACAGTTTTATTCTTTGGTGTTCTTAGAGGCAACTTGATATACTTGTAACTTGAGCTCTGGCCACTGTCAGTGTGAAGAGCAAACAGGGACACAATGTTCCATGGCAGGTATTTTCAAGAATATTCGAAGGGCGAGCAGTGGTGCAGGATATTTCCTAGGGAAATACAGATCTTTCAGTGTGGCCATGATTGCCCTTATGGTGTACCCTTGTGTTCAGCCTGGAGGAATCTTCTCAAGGTGGTTACAGCTTGTTTTTTCTTTGCAAGTTGAAGACGTGTAGAAAAGCGGGGAATGTCCCAAGCTTGAGTACCTATAATCACTGTAAGTGATTTTATTAGCCAAAATTTTTGTTTTTATAGCCATCCTGATAAAGTTAGAATTATACCTGGTGGGCATATCTGCCATTTAGCTGGAAGGCTCTAAAGAGGATTGCTGAGGCACTGGTAGGACTGATAGGGAATATTTATAGCCAGTAGAAAAATTCAGCCTGTTGAAAAGTTTGTTCCACCATTCCAATACATGATGCTTGCAATGTCATGACCCCCAGAGCACAGCACATAATTCTCTGAGAGACTTTTAGGGGGTGCGTCAAAGCCTCAGTGATATAATGAAACAAAATAAAGGGAGGGTTTTTCTCATTTCTATGTAGAATTTCTATTTCAAAGGGAACACGCACTGGAACTAAGCTGAGGTGATCTCCGTTGGGCTGTCCAACATCTAATCATGCCATGGTGTCATTTTTGGCAAACTTGACTTATTTTGGACATATATAATGGCAAACAGTGTTAAAATGCATTATCAGAGGTTATGTGACTGTTTGGAAAACAGGGCAGCAGTGAGAGGTTTGAGGCAGCTTCACCTCTCTGACACTGAACTGCAGTCTTTAATGACCTGAGCATAGTAATAATAGTAGCAGTAATAGTAACAACAACAACTAGTATTATTATTGTTGTTGTTGTTGTTGTTATTTATTATTATTCATGGCAGCTTTAATAATAATTTTGCAGCTGATCTGTGTTTGTGTTTCCTTGTGTGGTGCAGACTGGAGGGGGTACAGAGCTGGCAGGCTGGTGGCATCTTCCTGACATGCACCATTATTTCCAGATCAGCAGTTTTCTTTTGACCTGCCCTAAACTCTGGCCTGTTCAGAGGAATAATGCCCGCAGGAGAGATACCTCCAGTATAGCTCTTAGTCCTTTTGTAAGGGTTTTCCCAGATCTTTTTTTTTTTTTTTGGTCTAGAAGCGTAGCAGAGGGATTTGTGTGAGAGGGTTTATTAAATCCCAGCTGTGCCATACAGTCTCTGTCCCAAAAAGTCAGGACTGTTTCAGGTGGGCAGAGCAAGGCCTACCCGAAGGACCAGCATCATCTTCAACAGCAATGTGGCATCATTCTTTTTCCCAGGTGTTAAAAAACACTGGGACTCACAGTTTCTCATAGCATGGGAATATTTAATGAGGAGGGAATTGCACTTGCCAATGGCACTCTCTTCCACATAGTGGCCTTAAAAGTTCATTACAAAGCACAAATATTACTGGTGTTGAGAGGCCACCACGGGGTGGGTTCTGCAGTACAGCATGCCTTGTGGCTTTCACACAAAACAGGGCTGAACTGAACCTAGAAAATCAGCTTTTCCATTCTGAGGTTATTTAGGGTGATTTTTGAAGTCTCTTTTAAGACCTTTAACAGGCTTGTGAGGACAAATTATTGGATTGCTTTTTTAACTGCCACACAGCAAAGGATCTGGCCCTATTTTTTTCCTTTTTTTTCTTTTTTTTTAGATTAACAGTTTCGCCCAAAAGCAAAATTTGCATTCCAGAGGCAATACTGCATTTTTCCAAGCTTACCTTCTCTCCCACTCCGAATGGCCCACCAGGAAATCCAAAAAGCACCAGCAAGTCCTAGAGCTTCATCGAGCTGCCTCAGACACTCCTGGCTCTTTCTGGTGAAGGAAAGACATTTTTATCCATAGAAGGGCCAATCCAGCCAGAAAATCGTGCCTGGAGGCCATGGCACCATAGGGATCTCTGGCTGCCCCTGAGGGAGCTGGATTACCACTGACAGTCAATATTTTTATGTTTTGTTGGCACTTTTTAGCCACGGTTTTTTAATGACAACTCTAAGCTGGTTTTATATACAAAACTTCAAGTCAAGAAAATTTGTTTCCACAGCATTTGTTTTAAAAATAGGGAAAGAAATCTTTAAGCCCCATGCACTAAGGGTTTTCTCCACAGAGAGAGGATCATGTTGCAAAGCATCCAAAGGAATACAGCGCATTTCAAATCATAGTGTTCTGTTTATTGCCATTGAGACCTCTCTGGTTCCCCAGCTGTCACAGACTAATATTGCTGTGGTATAACAGTTTCATACTGGTGAGTTTGTAGACAGCTTTCAAGCTGATGGCTGTGTGAGACTCATTCCCAAGCTCTGCATTCGGACTGCCATTGGCATCAGTCTCAAAGGTTGGATGAACGGGGCAGGCTGGCAATTTACTCTATCAACACTAGGAATAAACCAGGATGTTCCCTCAACACAAACATAATTTTTTTTTTTTTTCAAGAAAGACACATTACCAAATTTTGAGTTGCTGCGGATCATCTGGTGAAAAAGTAATCTGAGAGCCCACAAAATCAGACTCTACTCATGAGTCATTCTGTAACCTAAGTTACTTATCACCTCCTTGCCTCCAACTTCCCAGACAAACTGAAGAAAAATCAAAGAAAATCAATATCCTTCCCCACCCTTCCCTTTAAAATATTCAGGCAAAAGGTGTTAGGCAAGTGAAAACGGTCCCACATCTGGAAATATTTCCATTGCTGGTTTACAGAGGAAAACAACAATTTGACCCCATCACTTTGAAGAAAGGTAGAGAAGCAGTGCTGCTCAAACTAAAAAGGGATTTGGTTTATTTTGTTAATTGCAGTCCTTTTGAAAAATGATACTTAGCCTGCCAGCGAGGTGCTAATTAATGTGAGGATGTGGTGCACCATATAATAAAGACTGCTAGTGAGGAATGTGAATGAAGTAGAGATTGTTCCTGAGGTGTTGATGGGTAAACAAGATTGCTGCAGAGGTAGGCCACAGGTAAGCTTGACTTTGCATTTTTTGCAAGCTGTTGCCTTGCTCTTTGTGTTCATTTGTAGACATTTTCCATGGTGAGAAACTGAGGAAGAGGAAAATCCTTCCCTTGGAGTCACCACTCTGAGTTTTCAGGCACAGCAGTCTTTAGGATGGGGAGATGCTCAGAGCAGCAGCATTAAAAAATCAGCATCAGCATTTTAAAAGCATAATTAAGATTTTGTTTCTCACACCATAATTTTATCTGAAACTCTGCCTGCTTGTCTGATTGTACATGACAGTGTGTAACTGTGGCCCACACATTGACAAAAACCTTTACACTCAGTTTAGAATCTACAGCATTTTGGGTTTGCATCTTAAATCTCTTCAGTTTTCCTCTTGACCATTTTTGCTGTTCAGACAGAAACATGCTGTAAAACACCCCATTCATGGGGAAAATAAAAAATTTTCTGGTCCACAATTACTTAGGGAGGTTTTCTTGGTCTATCACACAGGCTTTGCATTTAAGACTTTTCCCATGCAGACACATGGAGGAGCAGTTTGCTGCCATATATTGATATTATTGATAGTAGGGTGGTGCTGTGGCTCAGCCCCGCCAATGACTGTCTTTTGCAGCCGTTCTTTGGTTTACAATCAAATGTGAAAACATGCTACTGATGTACTTAAGAAATCTTCCTGGAATAATAAGCATCCCATGTCCCAAAATTGTGTTGTGTTTGATATGACCATTTAAACAACTGTCTGAAGTATAATCCTCACAGATGGACTGGAAAGTGTGAACCAACTGTGACTTAGTTGCAGACAAGTTCAGCCATATTCTCTTGGCAAATTCATGCTCAGTAAGGTATTTTTCTGCATTTTGTTTTGAATTATACAAGAGGACAAGCCCCTAGCACATGTCCAGTCTGTGGCTGGTCCTAGTATAGGATATGGCTCTTCAGCAGGTGTATTTTATTCAGATATTGGAAATAAAATCCTCCAGCAGTGAGGAGGATGCTATCACAAGCTACCTGAGTAGTATCAAGTATTTCATGAACCCTTCCTAATGAACGAGCTCAGACTCACCAACTCCCCAGCAGATGTGTTCACTTCTTTAGAAGACAGACAAATAGGACTATGAGCAATGAAGGAGGAATATCCACTCAGCTAGAAGAAAAATAAAAAAAAGATATATTGAAGTATCTGGGAGTGCTTACACTCATTACTCAGAGTCAGAGGAAGGAGCTGAGGGTCAAAGGAAGGACATCGAGTCCAATCAGGGGTGTGTGTAGGCAACTTTTGGTTGTCAGCTGGCCAAGGTTAGTGTCACCCTGCTGTCAGCACTGCCCTTCCAGCCCATGGAGAGGTGTCCAGTGGAGCACAGCTGGGTGAGGAGCATTCCAGTGCCTCAGCAAACAGCAATGCTCCTGCAGCTGGCGGCGCTGGGAGAGGCACAGCAGCTTCCATGCAGGTGCATCACAGCCACCAGCTGCCGTGGTGACACCCCATGTCCTCATGTGGAACACCTGGCTGGGAACACGGGGCTGGCCACTCTGATGCCATCTGGGGCTTCCTGAGTAGATTTCAGAGTACATGGTGGCCACAGGTTTTCCCAGCCTAGAGGAGATGCCTTTCCAGCCAGTGTGATGTACCAGCAGATGAGGAAAAAGGGAGAGGATTGACCAAGCCTCTCACGAAAAGAATACTTCACCTGGAAAAATGCAGTTTTGAAAAATGCATTGTTGTACTGTGACCAGAATGCTTTCTCTGATTAAACACTGTCGTTTCTCCTTCCAAAGGAATTAAAGGAAGGATATAATTTTGACATACAGAGGTGTTGTACAATGGATTGTATCTTCTAAAGGTTGCTTTTTTCCTTTCTAGAAATATTTCTGAATTCTTGTGCCATTGCATTTTTAACTCCCTGTTCCAAAGGGAGAATAACTTTGGAATATTAAAAAAAAATAAAATAATCATACTTGATAGCAATTCTATTTACTGATTTCTCTATACACCTATATATAATATTTCTATAACCCTGCTGGCTATAAGTTTCATAAGTTAATAATTTTTTCAACTGCATCATTTATATGGTGTGGAGATTTGCTTTTTGGCAGTCCAAATACTCCTGGCTTGCCATATATTTCATGTGGAAAAGCAGAACTTTCCCAGATGTGTAATTGCAGAATTTCATGATTTTTTTTTTAATTTACCTTGATAGGGCCAAAGCAAAATCTTATTGATTGTAGACAACTGTGAAACCATTTGATCAGCACTGAGCAGAGTACAGAACTATTTTTTTTTCAGTCTTTAAAAGATCATTATTATTTTAAAATATTAGCAAGACTCTTTTAAAGAGGCCTTGGTTAAGAGCTCCTTTTGTTTCCAAAGTCTGTCTCCACTTCTCACACACGTTCAATCCCCTTCTGGATATATATTTAAGGCAGAGAGAGCTCCGGGCTGTTTGTACAATGAAATTGGCAGGAGACAATCTTTAATTCAGTCACACAATTGTGCTCTTAGAATATAAGCTATGAACACAACTAATATGATAATTAAATGATTTGAAAAGGTTCCTAATAAAAGAAACAGTTCCACATCATCTCAGTAATAAGAGTAATCTTACTTTCAGAAAGTGCACGTTATCTGGAACACTTCCAGAGCCCTCAGTGCTGGCAGCACAGGTTGCCCAGAGAATCTGTGAATGAAAGACTTCATCCAGGTGCAAAGCCCTGAATGCTGGTCAACCAACACAAGGTCTCCACGTCACCTCTCCAGTGGCTCTGGGTGTAACAGCAGGGGATTTCTGAGAAACGGCGCTGATAATCATAGAAGCAAAGAATGGCTTGGATTGGAAGGGACCTTAAAGATCAGCTCATTCCACACCCCCTGCCATGAGCAGGGACACCCTCTGGTAGATCGGGTTGCTCCAAGCCCCATCCAACCTGGCTTTGAGCACATCCAGGGATGGGGCATCCACAGCTTCTCTGGGCAACCTGTGCCAGGGCCTCCCCACCCTCACAGGTTCCCAGAACCAGTTCTGGTAAAAGACACCACACTGTTCCTGCTTCTTCGGTCTGGTGTTTTTCTGGATCTCCCTCATCCCAGAAATGCACACAAAGCCACTGGTGTGGGGTTTTTTTTTGTTCTCTTGCGGAGAACAAATAATTTCTGCCTGTTGCATCCACAGTACTGTGGGTGAAGATGAGCACAGCAATGTAACTGAGAGTCTCCTCATTATCCTGCTGTAACTGTATCTCAGAAGTAGACAATTGCCCTAGGCTTAGATTTTCTCAAAATTTATGTGTATCAAAAGGGATCTTGTACAGGCAAAAAGCACCAAGTTGATTTTTCCAAGAGCAGTTTGCCATTTTAAGCAGTTGTTGGCTTAATAAGTGAAATAGCTCAGGGCTGTGTGCATGCCATAATGATTGCATTCTGTAAGAAAAGACTGTGCCTATGGGTCTCAAAGTTTCAGAGCCAAGACTAGTCATATTTGTGGTCTTTAAGTCGCAACCCCAAGCTATTCACACCACTGCAGATAAGGGATAGCTGATCATAAGAATAACACTGATTTTAAAAGAACTAACCACAGCAAAACTAAAATGACCTAGTCAAGCAATACAAAGGGTGTATGATTGACAAGATAGCTGTTCTTTGAAATGTACTGTAGGCAGTAAATAGCATCTTATGCCCATAAGCTATTTTCTATCTTAAAGCCAAGAATAATGATCTGGCATCTGTCCTTCCTGAGTGAGGATTCAGTTCTGAAAGCTGTGGCAGCTCCCTCCCAAACGCCTCTGGAAATGATAGCAGGGGTGTGCTCATTGTAATTATACCATGGGGTGCTTCTCTTCTTTTATTCCAAAAGGGTTTCTCTCTAGTGTAAACAGCTGTGCAGGGTGGAAATAGAAAGTTTCGACTCTTACACTTGTGCTCAGGAGGATTTAACTCACATTTGCATTTCCTTGGGGTGGGCAGCCAGACAAGGAAAGGCAGTATCAGCAGGGCCTGATTTATCTTTGTCCCCATCAAAAATTCAAGTGGCAACTAAGATTTTGTTGAACTGTAATCTAGATAACTTTACCTAATTCCACAGAATTCAAACAGCTGCCAAGCTTTTCTGTACAGCCCCTTTCTGGCCAAGGAACACATGGGCTGAGTACAGCCTGAATGCACAGGATCAGGTTGTAGGCCTGCGAGTTACATACTCCCTGCAATGTGGTCTAGGCTCGGTCTACGTGCACTGGGACATAGAACACTGGGGCTTTGCATCATGCCTCAGCTCTGCCATGTTTGCTTTCTCTTTGAAAGGGGTTTTCCTTCTGTTAGTATCTCATTAGGGCTGCGGAAGAGCAGAAAATGTAAATTGGAGGCCATTTCTGTTCCTATTTCTACCCAAGTAGCTGCAGGGCACTGTTATCACTGCCTTACAATCACTGTAATGTTTCCATTTGGTGCCCTGTTTGTGGCATATTGCAAACCCAATCACATAGGGGTGCAAATTCCTAAATTCCACGACCTTGATACCCAGTAGGGAAGAGTCCATGTTGCCGAGTCTGCAGCAGCAGCAGCAGCAGCAGGGTTTGCCTGTAGCACTTTGGCAGCCCATCCCAGCATCTGAACTGCTCATCCACCACTCTCATCTCACAGAAGCAACAAGAATCAAGAAATGCTAATAAACCACCAAATTTTTGCCTTTCCTTCCCTCTTCCCCCCACCCCCACTACAGGCTGGAATGCAGTCTGATGAACAGAGAGCTCTTGGAACATGTCAGATGGCTCTGAGGAAAGCAAAATGCTCCCTCTTTCGGGACTGCTATGTTTTCTGATGTCACGGAGTTTTTTGTTGTTTTTCTTTCTTTCTTTTTTTTAAGTGAAAAGGAGAATTGTAACTTCCTTTACACTAGTACATTAGCATAATACGTTCCTGCCTTCAGGTACTGTATGTCATTGTTATGAGTACATTTTGACATCTCTCACACTTCCAGCACTCCAAAGATCCATGACAGAGCTGAATGAAAACTTTTTTTTGACTTGGCAGAAGCAGTAAGAACACATAAAACCTGCCAGCTGTCAAGGATGTAAATGGTGATTTTGTTTCACTTTTTTAATGAATTAAAGCGGGATTGAAATCTGTCCAAAGACAGCATGTTGGGCCTTGCAAGGAAAGAAAAAAAATGAAAGGGAGGGATTTCTTTTTTTTCCTCTTTTGGCACCTCTGCTCAGAGAGTATTTATTCTTGGTAGCACAGTATAGGACGGAGCTACTCTCCTGGAAGAGCCTTGACTCTTGTCTCATGTCAGACATGAGACACCTTATAGGGACTGGTCTCAAGAAAGGACATAAAAATACTAATTTTTGCCCTATTTCAAGCCAGGAATCTGAAAAATATTGCACCCGTCACTGCTTTGGAGAAGGGTGGCAGCAAACCACTGGCAGAAGTCATTTTGTGTGTCATTTACATTGTAAACACACTGAAACCAAACCAAAATCTGATGGATTTTTCTTATAAATCATGTTTCTTCCTGACATCTTACTGATGACACTTTGGGGGGAGGGAGGACAAGTGTATCTTTCATTTGTGAGGCTGGACTTTGAAGCATTGCATACCTGTGAGGGACTGTATTTGGTTCCTCTGGTTTCATGGTCTCAAAGTCCAAAGGCAATTTGTTTTGGAGCTTCTGGGAGATGTCCTGAGTATGTCCTGACGCTGGACCTGTGTGAAAAAACATTGTGGTTCTGAGCTCATCAGCATTGCATATTCTTAACATACTTTTCCTGCTATTGAAAATTAGCTATAAAGCTTGGATGAGGAAAAAAATGGCTGTTTCATAATTTGTCTGCAGTTTATTTCTCATTTCCTTTCTTAGTTTCTTGAATTTTGCACTTCAAACCTCTTTGACCATTGTCCATGATTGATTCAGACTGTTTTGCCTCTGTTTGCAACACTACACTCTCATACATCTATTTATTTCATTACTCAAATTGCACATCTACTCTTCTGGTGGAGTCTTACTCTGTGTCTCACGTACCTAAGCACAGTGTGACCCTCTCTCTATACATGTATGTACGTGTATTCCTCTTTGGGGGGTGAAAATATGGTAAAGAATTTGCCAGGTTCTTTGCTTTTTATGCCATAATTTCTGCTTCAGATTTTCAAGTGATGTCCCGTTGAACTAGCCAAAATCAAATCATAGTTTCCAAGCTGTGAAGGGGTTATCAGTTATGAAGGTTATCTCAGCACCTTAAAAGCTGAACTGTAGAGGTCTTAAATAGCACAGGCAGAGAGAAATGAAGTCTCTTCTTTTGGAAAATGTAGCACCTCTCATCAAAATAGGTTCATATTGACTGATGTTCCTGGACCAAAGACCCTCCTGGCAGCTCAGCTCAGCTTAGCTTCAGCTTGGTTGAAGCCCAGTGCAAGCACATCTCCAATAAATTGTCCTGTGTGTAGTGGAAAAGAGGTTCCATGTGCCTGGTAAGAGGTGCATGGAGCACATTAGCTCCTGTAGGAATTTACAAACAGGCTTCAACGTAGGCATTGTGAACAGACCTATGAATTCAATGTGACTTCTCAGGCAAGCCAAGCCCACTTAAGCCAGATGACTTAGACAAAATAACAGTGAAGAAATTTGTTCAGACAAAACAAAAGTTGAACACTAACTTCTTCCAAAAACTCAAGATGAACCTGAATTTCTGAAAAAAAAATGTGTAACTCCCTTTTCCTCCCCTCGCCTCTCCCTCAGCTTCCTAAACCCCTGGCACCTACCCACTTTAGCTGGAACAGAATGACTCTTCTCAGGTTTCCAGCCTCTCTTCAAGTAGGAAGTATAGAAAATCTCACAGGAAAGCCTTTTCTTATGAGCTTTCCAGGCAGATTTTCTGAATAAAGAGAGTCTTACACATTTCAGTTATTTATTAAGTCTTCTGAGGAGCTTCCATCCCCAGCTTTAATAGAAGCCTTCAGACACAACATGTAATTACAGGATGAAAATCTGCTAAACCGTACAACCACTTCAGTAAACTCTGTTAGAGTGTAGGAAACATAGTGAAAGTCTGGACCCTCTTCTCCTTTTTGGGAAGAGAAATCTTCATTTAAGCAGCATGGCAGATAATTGCAGCACTTACAAGACAGAGCAGAAAAGGGTAATATGATGAAATGGGGTAGCTCAGCAAATAAATATTAAATTGCAGTTTTTTCCTCACTTTGGGACGGTTGTGCAAAGACACAGAGCAGGTTCACCCACCTCTGGATCCTGCTTTTACTCTGCATCTTTTACCTCTGTCTCAACTGGGGAGAACCTACTCAAAGAAATGAGTCCAACTGCCTCCTTCTTGATGGAAATTAAAGCACAGGAGATGAAAGGAAAGGAATTCCTGCTGTCTTTCCAAGTCACGCTTTTCTCCCACTCCTTTTGGGTCTGGGGGAGCTTCCCCACACTGAGTGGCTTCCCCCAGCAGGGGTGAGTCACATCTGCCTCCACCAGTGGTCCCAAGCCCTGTGCTAAGGGAATTGCAGCCACTAAAAGAAGCAGTGGGTCCACTGGTAAAGTGATGAGCAAAGCAATTTAGGCACTTAATTCTTGCTGTGGGCGGGAACAGGGGGAAAGACAGGAATGGCTGAGCGGAGAAAGAGCCAAGTGACCACCCTCCTGCCCCCAAGTCACAGCACATTTTGTGCCACCAACACACAGCCCTGAGGTAAAAGCTGTGCAGGAGAGAAGTCAACGGTGATTATTTACTCACTAGCTGAAGAGGTAATTTGTGCTATATTATGAAAAGTTTTAGGTTTCCTGATGTATGGGAGGCAAAAAGCCCCTAAATTAGGACGCATGGGTTGGCACCTTCAATGGAGAGAAGGTGCATGGTGTTTAGCCTCACTTTCTTTCATGGGGCTGCAGTGCTTAACTGTGCCTAATCCTTTTTAATGAACACTTTGCTGATGCAAATCAGCCCACAGATGTCTGTTCAAAGGAAAATACAGAAAAATCTTTTGAGAGACTGTGACTCTGTAAGATAGACTTGGCTTAACTAAAGAGTGTCAACACAAAGGTGAGTGAAAAATAATTCCAAGTTAAAAATACACTTCTAGGAGGATGTTTCAGAGGAGAATGTTTTCTGAACTGGTGAATTTTTCATTTCATAGTTATGAAACAAGTGATAATTTGATTCTACTCTTTTCTCCAAAAATAGTTCAGAACAGAGAAATACTAGCACTGTTTTCAAACAGGGCTTACTTTCTTTCCAAAGGCAGGAAAGAGCACAAAGTAACACTGACTGTTTTGCCAGTTGGAAAACATTTAGAAAGTGTGAGAATGTGAAGGGGGGGGGAATCACATCCTACAGCTTTGTCACCATTTTTCAGCTGGAAAAATATTGGAAAGCAGAAAGATGTTTCTTTTTTCCTACATCCTTAATTCATAGAATGGTTCCATAGGAAGACCATTGTCTCCCAGGAAAGATATTCAACCTAGAAAAATCAAGAGTTTTCAATTTTCTCTAATCACACACCTCTACAATATTTCTACACACTGACTGATGCACAGGACATTTGTCAGGCTGGATATTTACTCCTGAAGATAATATGTTACTACAAATGCAGTGGCCAGACAGATCCTTCTGAGCATAATAATTTTCCATTTTTTTGCAGTGAGTGATTTTTTTTAAAAGAGTTTTAAATATACAGTTACATACAAACACAAGACAAGCATTTCTTTCTTAGGACTCTACTCTGTTAGGAAACATTTCAAACATTTTCAAGAGCAGGATAATAAGGAGCACATACAACAACAGCAAATTTAGAACTTGAATCATTACCCACTGACTTTTCCAGCTCAATTTGCCATCTCTAATAATTCTTACTTTACCAGTTTTTATACTTTGAAAAGTTTGTTGGATAGCTTAATCAATCAAAACAATCACATTGCATAAAGATTTGATTTCCTTAAACTGGTGACCTTCTCCCCATCATTCAGCTTTCCTGGATGACCCTTCCCACTCTCACTGGAAGTTACTGCAATCAAATAGTATTTGGAGTATTCACATATCCTTTTGCCCAAGCCACCTTTTGCAAATCATTGCACAAGGTGCCGTGCTTTCCCCTTGCCCCACCAGAGGCTATTGCTTAAAAGATCCAGTTCCTGTAAAAACAATCATAGGTCAACGCTGAAAGAGTGATGGAAAGACCCATTTCAGTCATGTGTTTTTTGGCACAGAACCACTGCGAGTGCATAATCTGTATAAATGTTAGCTTTCTAAATAAACAGAACCTCTGGTTGCATGAAAGCAGCGAATAAAGTTGAAACTTGTTCCTCTCATTAAGCAGCGTTTCAAAACCGGAGCTTGTTTTGTTCTAAACACCCGTCAGTCCTGACAGATGATAATAAACAAATAGGAACAACAGCAACGAAGCCAACAGAGCTACCCTGGACATTTTACTGTGTTCCTTTTTTTAAGTATGGAAGTATTTTGCCCATATATAAGATGGAGTGGGGATGGGAAAGTCTTTGGGGCTCATGTCCATACAGCTATTCTGTTTTGGGATGTTGTGGTGCCGTCAGTAGAGCTGTGCCCTCGGGGCAGCCCTGTGGACAGTGCCTTGATTCCATCTGTCCGTGCCTGTGGGATGTTGGGGATGTAAACTTCCCACTTGGGATCTGTGAAGGTTATATGGGAAAAGTCAGCTGCTGACAGCAGTCACTGTTCAATACTCTGTCCAGTTTTGACTCATTTCCAAACTGCAATGCTCTAAGCAGGAATTCTTTCACTTGGTGTTGCTGTTGCAACTCACCATGAAGTCACAGATATATGTAAGAGTTTGGGGATTGTTTTCAGCATAACCAGGACAGCAGTAGAGTTCTTTTAATGTGCTTAAAATAGCCTGGAAAGTAAAGGGGAAAAAATAAAATTGATCCATCTAAAGAAATTATTAAAAAAGAGTCTCCAAATAGTGCACTGAGGTCTTTTTGAAAGAGATGAGAAAGTAGTGTTTTCAGTATACTATGCTGTAAATACCTTAAAAATCCATCCTTCCCTAGCCATATGTTAAGGAAGGCAAAGCAATGCAGATAAAAAGATACAGAGGTGGACAACAGTTGTCAATGTTAAAATGTGGCTTGTCTGTGTGCTCTGTTCCACCTCCTCCCCCAGATTTCTTAGTGCTCCTAGGTGACCTTGCACAACACAGGCCAACATTTATAGGACAAATTTTCATTTTTTACTAGCTTTCTAAAATTTAAATCGGAATTAATTAAATGCTTTCATTGGAAAATATGTAAGTAGCTGATAAAGGACATCCCTAATACAGACTAATACATGGATACACAGAGTACGTGGGGTTTACTTCTTTTCCCACACCTCCAGCAATATGTGCCCTCCATGTCTTCCCAGGACTGCCAGTGATCACTCACATGCTGCCTTTCTGGGAAAGCCAGAACAAGGAAAATAAGCACATCTTATAGCTGAGACTAGACACCTCACATCACAGATAATGCAGGGATTGCCGAAGATGTGATTTCTGTGCAATTAGAGTCATGTTGGTTCTGGAGGAGGAGGAATTTTTGATTCTAAAGTAGGTGAGTTTTAAGTCACTCAGCAATTTGTCTGAGGCAAAGGTACAATACATGGCTTTTATTTTTAAAAAAAGCACTAAGATTATTTACTGCTTGTCGCATAACACTAAAACATGGTTTACATAGGTCATTTTAAAACCACTTTTTTCTTTGACTGGGCTGCACAGTGGTGGCAAGACCATGAATCGTATCTTGTGAGTGTATATTTGTTTTCTTCCAGGTGTGTAAAGGCATCAGATCAAATTAAAAAAAAAAAAAAAACGAAATGAAAAAGAAAAACTCAACCAACCAAAAATAAAAAAATGAAATAAAATAAAAATAAAATAAAAAAAATATACCTTGTTCACTCAAAACCCCTTGCAAATGACTACAGTAAATTCTCTGGCACTTCAGCATGATTGACATGTGAGAGTCGTGTTCTGGTACAAATATATCCTGATGAAGTTATCCTTTTAGTGGTCACAGAAGGTCATCTTTTATGTCTTTACTCCTTTGTAAATAAGGTCTTAGGTAATTCTCCTCCCACTCTCATGTCTACACATGATTTCATAGTTTAGTAACAATTTGGTGGCTTTCATTGTGTGGTGGCTTTATTTTTTTTTTTCTTTTTTTGTTGACTGCCACCCCAGCTTTGCCAAAGCCTGTCTTGATCTGCAAGTGTGAAAGAAGGTCTTAGGCTGGGGCAGAATGTGCCCCATCATCTCTCCATGTCTGACTGAAGATGTGCAGAAAGAAAGGGATAAGGATCAGCAGATACAGCCTGTTGCTCTGCTCCCATTCAGAGCTCAGAGACAGCGGATCTGTGGCGGGCACTGATCACTGATTTTAGCACTACCAAGCCCATAATCCCCCCTTAGTGCTCTCCAGCAGAAGCAACACTTGAAAAACTCATCTCTGTCTCACCCAGCAGAGGCCCTTTGGACAGGAGAGCTGCATGATCTTTCCTTTACCAGGAAAAAGGAATTTTGCTTTAATAAACACAAATAAACACAAATCAGGGTTCCCACAAAGTCTCTTATGTCTGCTCAGAAAAGTGAAATAAAGCAGGGGGAACTACACCTTTGCTGAACACCTAAAACAGTGTAGATAAGCATTTTTTAGCTCAAGTCTGTGTCATTCATTTGGCAAACAAGCACTTAAATTCCCAGAAAACTGTACTGTATGCAAGATCTCACTGCTTGAGTGTCTTTTTAACGGCCACTTGATCTTATCATAAATTAGGCCACTAAATACTCTACTATCTTGATAGTATTTCTTGTCTCTTCCTCATTTTGAAAATCAAATTTTTTGAAATGCCAAAAATCTCTAGAGGCATTTCTAACATTTCAGAAAATATGCTGAGGCTCTTGTCAGCATGGAAAACTGCCTGAATATCATCAATAAAACATGATTAAACATAATTTTCTCTGAATTATGTCATATTTTTCATTTTTTGAAGTACAAAAGATGTGTAGATGAAAACACTCAATTCTATAGATGACTTGAAAGTTCAGAATTGCCCTGGAGTCCTTCGTGTCAGCCAAAGCAGATGCTGGAATAAAATTACACATACAAATACTTTAGCAGGTTGTTCCTAAAACTAGAATCCTGTTTATTGGAAACTCCCTACCTTTGGCAATTCTCATCAGTTGCTATAATAAATAGTCCATTTTTTTCAGGTGCAGTGTTCGTTTAACAGAAGCTCTGGAAGTGTTTGTGAATTTTTTGCATTGTCTTCCAGCAGCCCCCAAACTAAACAGTACTCATAAATCCATCCTTTATGCTTGTTTAGTTATTAAATGTTTCTGTTGGATCTGTTTCAGAGACATTTGAACTTTTCAGATGGCTCTTTAGTAATTTGTAACAAGTCTTAAGTGAACTACATCCACTTTGTTAAGGGCTTTCAATTAGCTTTAAGCCCTCATGATACGATGGAATTGCAACTCTGAAAATCCCCAAAACATGACTTAAAACTACTGAACTTTTCTTATGCAACACATGAACACTTTCTGGCATTTTGGATGCCTTGACTCTGTCTTGATCTCGTTTAGAAACTGAATTATATAGATATATATATATGTATATAGAATATGTATTACACATTCTGTGTGTAGATCTTACAGATCATATGGCATACAGAATATACTATCATCACATACAACATGAAATATAATTAAAATATGTGTAGAAATACATGCTCTTAAACTGGAAAGGGGACAATTGTGGCATAAAAACTGCAAGGCAAGTGGCCAAGCACATTTGTGAAACTGTAATTTAAAATTAATTTAAAATATAGTTTTTCATTTTATTGGGCTTTAGTAGGTCATCTAGGTATTTAGACCTATTTGAAAAAGCAGCTGTGGGGTATTTTCGTGTTAAAATCTCTGTATGTCTATAATGTTTTCCTTCGTGCCATTATTTCTCACTGACAGGTAAGGGGAGGTTTTGACACTGTTAATATAACATAGGGTGTTAATCTTATAATCGCCCTGTCAGCACTTGGTGTCAGGGTGTTAATGGCCACCTTTCAGCCACTCAGCCTCGCCTGCCAATAAAAACAGTCCCGGCACCTCTCCAACCAGCAGCTCTGCAGCTACTCTGCTTTTCCCCCAAAGAATAAACAGAAAATTTCACTAGCCATGTGGCTGCAAAGATGCTCCTTTCTCCTTACTCATTTCCTTTTCCTAATGTACTTTAGGTGCTTTTTTTTTATTATTTTAAAAGATACAAATTAATTTTCAAGTTTTAAATAAACATAACACCTTAGATAGGATAAAAGAAGAATTTTTTAACAGTGAGAAGCACAATTATTTGCCGTAGCTCTTTGCTCCTCAGTGTAACTCAAACACAAATGCTGTATTTCTGTAATTTCTCAATGGTTGCAACAAGTCTGTATTTTTCTCTCTGCACAGGAGAGGGGCTTTTCCAACTTCCTGGCAGAAGGAGTTGCACAATTCCAGATGACTTACTTTATGTGCCTAGAGGAACTTTATTACACAAATAACAAAGGGAGACAAAGAGAGGAAGAGGGAGAGAGCACACACTCAAAATAATAAACAAAGAATAATAAACATTCCTGCAGTTATCCGTAGGGATTCCAGATGCTGCTCCATCCCTCCACAAGCACTGCCTGCCTCTCCTTCAGACTTCTCTGAAAATCTCGCTCTCAGTCTGGTGGAACCCCAGGAGCTTTTGAGCACAGCGAGACTGTGAGTAATCACCACATGTGCTCAGTTGCTCTCTGAGAGGCTGTTCTGCCACAACCCCAATCCATACAAAAAGAATTGATCTGTGATATTATGGAGCGTTTCAGGGTGAATTTCAAGCTCCTCCAAAGAGCTCATTGCCCTAAAGCTGTGGTCCTTGTGGCCTGATGTAGTCTGATGACGAATTTCCTCCCCCTCCCGCTTCCCACATGGCTTCTGCCATTGGCATTCAGGGTCTAAATCACAAATCCTACATTAAATAAGGGTTTAAATACCTTTCAGTAATGTGTGGGGAGGCCAGAGCTGTGACGAAACCCCAGAGTGAAGCCAGTTTGCTGCTCTTACTATCTTGTTGGGTTTGGATTTTTGCTGAAATGCTTATAGGTTTCCTCCAATCAAAGTGACATGGCTGATTGGCCGGGGCTGGTTCCAGCATCATGTGCTATCCATCTGGATTTTATATGCACTGCGTTTTCCCAGCTGAAAAGAAACAGACATACGACCCAGCTAATTAGAACTCAGTCCCAAAAAAAGTAACAGTTTGTTCCTAGAGAAAAATTCATTTCTCATGTGGGATTTTAATGCAGACCAAAAAAAGTAGCAAAGCATAAACAATCGCCAGTTTCCATGTCATACCAAGCCAAAGATGCAGTCAAAATTATTTCTGTGTTAAAAAATGCCAGGATTTACTTAGTCTTTGCTTGCTATATTTTATAGTAAGCATGAATGCTGGGATTCCTATTATCTTGGATGCACAAAGATACTCATTATATCACTACATAAAGAATGGTGGGGGTTTTCCACATTCCTTCCATAGTATTTCACATGCTTTGCAGCAGCAAAATAAATGTGAAAGGTCAGACACCTAAAACAGATCAAATATTCTTTATCTTGTTACAATCAGGCATTAATATATATAATTTTTGGAAAGAAGATAGTGGAATTGGATTCTAAATGTAAGGGGATATTAGAAGATGTATCACTGACTTCAAGAAAAGCCCAAGCAGTCAAGCATCCTCCTCTGAGGTCATCACCTCATCCAAGCCACAATGGCTACTGCCAGTCCATTTAACTATTTATTTGAGATTTTAATATTATCCAGCATATCATGTCTCAATTCTGCAAGATTACTCACTGCAGATATTCTAAATATTTGTGGAATTGCAGCTAAATCAAAGGAAAGGTTTAACTGGCACTTTTATATGTATTATATACTTCAAAATGCCTGCACTACCAGGGGGATATAGAATGAATTTGAAAGTGAGGGTCTATCAGTACTTAAAGTGACTTACTAGTTTATCCCATACTGTTTCCCTTTTTATTTTACCTCTTATCAGGGACTCATAAAAATACCTGTACTTGGCAGAAGAGAGGAACGTTACCATCTGCAACAAAACCAAAGTTTGTTCTGTAGTTTTTGTGGTCAGCAGTTTGGAGGGCGAACAGAGATTCAAATTTGCACATATGCAGAGACGTGTATGGAATTATGTACACGTCTAGAAATGTGAGGGAGAGGGGAAGGGAAGAGAAAGAACAGCCCTTCCACCTGCAAATCCCAGAGCAGTCTAAATTGGTCACTTCACCCAGGTCTGCCTGTCAGGCAATTTTCACATCCCAGTCATTAGCTGTGCAGGAATTTCAGAGTTTCACGTGTTGGGAAGTCTGAGCAGGTCACTATAGTTCAAAACAAAGAGGTCCAAGACTCCTATCCAAACAGCTGTGCTTCATATTTGAATTTTAGCCTTGTGGACTGTGAAAACCTCAGACCCCTTGATCCCCAAGGAAGTCTTGCATAAGCTTTGTTCTCAGTTAGTGGAGCACAGAGAAAGTAAAAGGTCCAGACTTCAGCTGACCTTGGAACAGTGAGAGTAAGTGGTCAAGTCCCTCTTATATATATCTGTGTATATTTAACTCCTGTTAACAGTAATGGGACTAACATCTGCATGGTGAGGATCAGTAAAGTAAGCAAATTAGGAGAAGCCAAGAACAATCAAACTTTATTACATTTTAGAATTTTGCCAAAACAATAGCTATTCCAGAATTATTTTATAGGTTAAGCAAACCTCTCCATCTGCAGTGGGATTTCATCCTCCCAGTAGAACTTAGTTATTTACCAGCTTTTCGGTGGTTTAGCTTTGATAAGCAAAGCAAGTCTCCAAGAACTCTTACGCAAAAAGGAAGCAGCTGCTTGCAGAGATGAGACACAATGGTAAAGGAAACCTCCTGGGAACATTCTGACAAGCACAGTGCTTGCAGACTGCAGAGATGTGAGAAGGAGGGAACGCTCTTCAGTTTTGTGAGCTCTTCTGCTTGGTGGGAAAGTGGTTTTGGGAGAGTGGGAAAATCATCTGAACTCGATTTGGTATTTCTGAGGACAGAAGTTCTTTATCGACAGCCTGGGTGGTGCTAACATCAATGTGTCCCTTTGCATTTCATTGCTGGCTTACAGAGAATACTTGGGAAGAGCCAAGTTCGCCCTTCCTGTCTTTGAACCCTCTGTTGTCCCTCAACCTTTGGCTAGCAGTTACTTTTGAGGAATTTTTTGGAGATGCTGATATTTTGTCTGAGGCCACTAAAGCAATTTCACAAACTACCACTGGATGCAGCACTCAGTTTTCAGTTGCCACCAGCCTGCCTTTGACCAAATTGGCTTCATGGGGGGCTGAAACTTTCAGTGTTAGCCTAGGGATTCATGCACAAGATGATTAATAGACAGTGCACAGTCAATTCCCTCATGGCTCTACAAAAACTGTAGCCAGACCTTCAACAGTCCATCAATAACATTTTGAGCCATCCAGTCTCCTCACTGTAATTCCCCAAAAAGATTGTGAACACCAGTGACGCGGGGGTCAGAGGGGAACTTGTGCCCTTGACTGAGTTACTGCTTTGAGACCTGTGGGCTTCGGGAGACTGACACGCAGGACCTTGTGGGATGGCAGAAGAAAGCTGTCTTCTGTTTCTCTGACAGAAAGGTGCTTGTAAGGAGCAGGGTATGCAACCCAATAAAGCCCTACAGCAACAAAAAATGAAAAGAAAACTGACCGTTTCTTAGAGACTGCATGGCTGGGCACGTACTTCCAAAACCATATGAAGCCTGCCCCATTTACATATGAACTTAACACAGAAAAAGAACCCACCATAAAAGAGGAAAGAGAACAACTGTGTGATCTCAATAAAGCCAGTCAGTGCCTGCTGTATATCCAATGGTGTGGCAGAAGACACAAACATTCAACAGGTATCTATGGCACCTCTGGGAAAATGGAAAGCCCGACAGTTACCTTTTGAAAAGACACTCCACGTGATTACTGGACACTTAATTTTCCCTGATTGTATCAATTTATCTGTTATTCAGACCTTAGGTGTGAAAGTGGATTACAGCTAGTTCTATTTCTATATCTAGTAAGGAAACAAATCAAAGCAAGTACCAGCACAAAGTGTATCCTGCATATTTCAGGCGAGCACTAGCTGGCCCTGCTTGTGACATAGCCTCCCTCTGGCAATCCATTTGGTAGAAAACATGTGTAAAAATAAATTATTTGGTTGAAAAAACCATGGTGGAGATGATTCATCCATCAAGGATGCTGAAACACCTCAAAGAAATAGCAGTTTGGTTGGCATATCTTGACATACACAGTCCTTGGTGATGTTTTTAAAGGCTTTTGAAATTAATTTGTTTCTTTAAGAAGAGAATATAGTCTTCTGAGATTATGACTTGGAGAAGGTGAAACTATTTCCAGGTTTGTCAAGCTCTGTAATAATGAAAAGATCAGTCATTCCCTCTTCTTCTGCTCTTCTTCCCACTCTTCTTCCTGACATCCTGACACTCTTCTGTTTTACTGGGTTGGTCATGCTTCTGAAACAAATGCTAACAAGGTAATACAATTTTCCAGGAATCTGGAATAATTTCTGCTGTTGGGTTTGTCCCCATAAACACTTTTTTGTGTGGAATTGATCATTTTAAGTCACGTTGTAGTTCTAATGCATGGTTGTGAGGCCGTTCATTCCAACATTAATAAATGGTTTTCCAAAAAGCATGTACATGTAGGGAAACAGAAATGTCATTATTTCTCCAGTGTCAATGAGAATGGAACCAAACACACCTGAATTTTTGTGCATTCTCATATTTAATCCATTCAATTTAATTACATGATCATACAACTTTTAAAAAATACTCTCCTCTGTCTCTGGCACTCTCCATCTGCTAATTCTTCTAAAATTGGCTTTTATGTGCTGAATAATCAGCCTTTTGTTTTCACTGCTTACATGCCATGTTATGAAAAATCTCTAAACACTTCTCACTAATTATTAAAATGCCACCATTGATTATAATGAAATATTTATTTAATTTATACCACCAACTTTTTTTCCACTTAATTCAAGATTGTTCAACACCTTTGTACAGTAGCTTCCTGGACAGTTAAATAATAGATTAAGCTTCATTTTGGAATAACAGGAAATATAGCTTTAAATTATTTAAATTGTTGGCTCTTCAGAGCAATGGATTTTCCCATTATGAGTTTGCTCAGTGTCTCAAACAATGTCATGAGCAATTTTGACCTGAACAACTACATGTTTTAAATAATAAAACACACACAGAGTGCAACATCACAGTAGTTTCTAAATCACACTTTCAAAGGCATTGATGCATCCTGAATTGTACCAATGATAAACTGGTATTTTGAAGAAGTCAAAAACTTTCTCCAGTGCAGAGAAGCTGGTCAGTGTGGAGAAAAGTGTGATCATGGAAAAACTGAATGCTTCTCCAGAGACACTTGGTAAATAAGTTCCTGCCTGGTTTTCTTCCTTCATTTACAAACAAGACTAGTTTCCAAATGCAGCTAAACTGAGATTACAGAGCTGCTTTTAGTTTGTGTGACTAACAGAGGGGAAATTATCTCTTACCACAAGTTTGAAAAGCATTGGAAAAATAATGATGGACCTATTATTCTAAAGGATACAAAAACTAGGCTGAGAAGAGTAGTCATTTCGGACTGACCACCAGCATGCACACTGGTATTTTCCTTTTCTGTTTACCATATTTATATAAATATTCATCAAGTGTTTATTTGTAAGACTTCAGCTGGCACTTCCTGCACATCCTAAAATTTCATCAGCTTCAGTGGGTGTATTCCAGGGTGCCAGCTCAGGCCTAAGGTCTTGAATTATGCATTGCATATTTCTTCCTATCTGAATGAAAGCCTGTTAGTCTACTTCCCCATCTAAGCATCAGGCCTCTGGTGAATATTTATATTGGAAGTCAAAATCCTCAATCAAAGGAGAGTTTCTGAAAGGATGAGGCTGCTTTGGAAATTCTGGTCTCGGTGACACAATGATCCAGAACTTCTCTGCAGTTTTGAAGCTCACATAACAAACATAACACAACGAGGTCTGAATCAAAGCAAGTAGCCAAAGTTAGTAGCAG